TTATGACTCAGGGTGAAGTCTCTCTCAGGGAGGAGTGATAGGGAATGGCAAAGGACACACTGGCAAAGAAGATTAATCAGAACTGGCTTTGACAAACACTGTGACATTTGGACAAGAACAAACTGGGAGGAGGGTAGAGAGAATAGTGCAACAATGAATGAGAGGAAACCCAAAATCTCTGTAAATGTTTATGAATATTAATAAAATATAATTATAGAAAGAAAAAAAAAAGAAGACAAAACCAAGTAGTATAAGAAGTGTGCAAAAAGTTCCATTAGGACAAATACTGTGTAAGACCACTGTTGTAGAAATAAAAACATAACTAGTAAAATGTGTATGAAGATTCAATGGGTATAGGGCAGGAGCAGAGGGGTTAGAGTGGGCAGGGGTGTAATCACAGCGTCATACAATTTGATGGGTAGAGAGAGGGGTGGGTAAAGGAAATGGGAAAGATCTGGTGTGGAAAACAATGTCTATTTTGTAAGTAAACCAGTATCAAATAAAAACGTTATTTAAAAAAAAAAAAAAAAAAAAAACAGGCAAGCTCTGGTGACGTAGTGGCAAGAAACTGCACTGTGGTGTGCAGTTCGAATCTACCAGATGCTCTGCTGAAGAAGGAGGAACAATCTCCTCCTGTACCAGTCAGATCTGATTTGATGGTAGACACATAAAAAATATTAAAAAAATTTAAAAAAAAACAAAATCCGAAAACAACAAACTAGGTCAATTAGAACTATGTTTTGTGCTCTGTTGAACATAGGCCTTACTAACCTCCTCCCTTGTTTAGTAATACTGTTGGTTAATTATATTTGGTTTGTCCTGGAGAAGGTGAAACCAGACTGCTCCTTGGAGGCAAGGATTCTGAAGCTTCGTCTGACATACTTTGGATACGTTGCAGGGAGGGACCAGTCCTTGGAGAGGGACATCATGCTTGGGAGGGTAGAGGGACAGAGCAAGAAAAGAAGACCCTCAATGAGATGGATTGATTCAGTGTCTGGGGTATTGGGGATAGGTGTGTCAGGGACAATAAGATTGGCACAGGATAGAGCAGGGTTTAGTGCTGTTGTACATAGGATCGCTATGAGTCACAGGTGACTAGATGGCACATAACAACAACAACAACAATTATATTTATAATTGTGAATATATATTTATATAAGTAAAAATATGTAACTATAAAAGCCAATAAATATAATTACAATTATAAATATTTTTTAAAAAGAGAGAACTGTGCAAGTATATGAAGTTAGAAAACACAAAAGGTAAAAAGTGCCAGGTATTCCTAAAGCTGGAAGAACTGAAGAAAGGATTCAAGTCTTCAGTAGCAATGCTGAAGGATTTTTTTTCCAAAATATGACACAAAAAAGCCCAATTAAAAACAAGATGGGAAGAATATGCAGAATCTTTGTACCAAAAAGAACTGGTCAATACTGAACCATTTCAGCAAGTATATCCTCAAGAACCAATGGTACTGAGGGGGAAAGTCCAAGCTGCATTGAAAGTTTGGCACAAAATAAGTCTCCAGGAGTTGACAAGATACCAACTTAGGTGCTTCAATTGCTTGTGCTACTACCCTGCATGTGCTCATTCATCTCAGACAAGAAATGTTGAAAACACATCTTTTATTCAGCAGGTCACCATGAGTTGTACTCGACTCCGTAGCACCTAACACCACCACCATCACCCGTCCAAATTCCTGTAAGGAAATCCATGTGTGTGTCCATTCCAAAGACTGTTGGCCGCAAAGAATATGGAAATGATAAAAATATCTGGTGGCATATTCTGCATGGAGTTGGGCTGCTAGCCTAAAGGCCATGCCTCTCTCGTGGTTGAGATCCACCAGTAGTTCCCAGGGCAGGGGGAATCTCCTCCTGTGCCATCTGAAGCCTCAGAAACACAATGCAGAGTCCGCTATGAATCCCTTCCAACTCAGCAGCAATGGGTTTTGAGTGACTATCAAGAGGTTTATTTGTGTTTTCATGAATATTTATTAATCTTATTTACATAAACCACTACTTTGTCATTAACTTCAAAAAAGACTTTTGGAAAACATTTTCTCTTTTTTTTTGGGAAACATTTTCAAGCCTGTGCATACCCATATACAAATCTTTCCATATCTAAATGAAACTTTTTAATGAAGGATCTTAGTTTATTTAGGGAACTCTGGTGGCCTAGTGGTAAGAAGTTGCACTGCAATCCATCAGAGCTGTTCATGGGAGATGGACGAGCAGTTGTCTCTCCAGTGATTGTCTCTGAAAACCTTCTGGAGGATCAGCTATGAGTCAATTTTGATTCCTTGGCACACAACAGTTTAGTTCTAAAATGATTTTTAATGTTTTTAATCCTGTCCGTACTAGGACTACATTCTATTTTACGATCTCTTCTAAATTGTCTTTGTATTTTCATTTCATGGCGTTCTCATGGTCTAGCATTAAGAAGCTGCACTTTAATCTCAAAGGTAAACGGTTCGAATCCATTAGTTGCTCTTCTTGGCACATAACAACATACTTTTATTTCATAATACTTCTTCTTTAGAGAGAAATGATCTTAAAAATGACTTCCGGATTTTCCTGTAAATGTGTGATTAAAGAGTATTATTACAAATAATTACAATGTTCATGAAATAAAATGTCATGATAAGCAGGTAAATAATAGTTCTTCTTCCAAAAGCCCTAAGTTCAGTACTACCAATTGCTAGCCACATTCAACAAACCAGTAAACCAATTCAAAGTAAATCAAGCTTTTATAACTTCATATCATATTTAACAAATTGATCCAACTTATTGATAGAGAACTGTCTCTTACGATTACTGATCTTACAGATTTATAAACTAAACATCCCATTAGCGGTCTCTACCACAATGACAGTATGATGTTACACCTTGTTCCTTTAATGTCTCTTATTCCCTAAGGTCCACCTGATTCAATCCATAGTCTTTTCAATTAATTGTGGTGTTGGAGACTATCCCATGGACTGCCAGCAGAATGAAACAAGTATGTCTTAGAAAAGGGTAACCAGCATACTTCTTGGAGGAAAAGATGGTGAAGCTTCATCTCTCATACTATGGATATGTTGATAGGAGAGTTTATTCCTTGGAAAGGGATATCATGTTTGGAAAGGTCGACTAAAGAGAGGAAGACCCCCAGTGCATAGATTGACACAGTGACTACAGCAATGGGCTCAAGTGTATCAGAGATAATGAGAATAGCACAGGATTGGGGTGGAATTCAGGTTTGTTGTTCATTTGTTGCTATGAGTCGTACTGGACTCAATGGCACTTAACAGCAGCAACTCCCTTAAGAAACAAGGACGTTACTATATGGTTTTATTTTACATCTGACCTCATTCATTTGTATTTGGAAGGCATAGTTTCTAAAGTTAAGAGATCTATCTCTATGATTTATTTACACTGTTGTTGCGGTATGCCAACGAGTTGGAACTGCCCAGAGCTGAGCCTTTGGAGGGTTTGCAGAGGCCATTAATCAAACAGGACGAAATAGATTGCACATCCTCTCAAAGAAGTGGTGGATTCCAACCACATGCCTTTGGGATTGCAGTGCAGCTTTTTAGCATTAGGCCACCAGAGCTCCCTATTTACATTTTATTGTTGTTGTGTACCTTCAAGCCAGAAGCCACCATTATCTGACCCTCTGGTGGGTTTTCAGAGGCACTTAATCGCAGGGAGGAAATCTGCCTATCCTTCTCCTGCAAAGCAGATGGTATCCTTGAAATGCATGCTTCTGGGATTGCCCCTAGGCCACCAGAGCTCCTTCTATTTACACTGTTGTTGATGATTGCTGTCAAGTGGAGCATGACTCATAGCAACCCTATGAACAAAAGAAGTGAAGGCTTTCTATAACTGTGGTAGATTCTCAAAATGAGTTTCCAGAGGCATGTTCTTTAGGATGCGACTTCTGCTTCCAAACTTTAAGAACCTAAAAAGTAAAAGAAACAAACAAAACACCACTAGAAATTTTCATTCTCCAAACATCTTCAGAAAACTGAATATATTAAGTTTGTTGTTAAGTGTCTTCGAGTCGCAGGCGACTCATAGTGACCCTACGAAGGAGAGTCCTCGGACGTGCCTTTCTTCCTCTCTCCAGGTTCATAGGGTTTCTGGAGGCAAGCTATTATGGAAGTGGATGCCACTCCTCCTTCCAAATATTAAGTGTAGGTACTATCAAATGATCTACATAAATCTTGGTGTGATTCTAAAGATGAAATAGATACCAGGGAAGGAGAGGAAGACCTTCAAAAACAGATTGATCCAATGTCTACAGCAATGTGTCAGGGATGATGAAAATGATGCTGGTTAGGACAGGGTAGAAGCAGGCTAGCATGGATGTGGGTGGTACGCAACTCAATCACACTTAACAACAAATGATGGCTGCATTAGTATTTTAAAGTCCCCTCACATTCCATTTTTAACTGTTCAAAATAGTAGCCTTACCATTTTCCTTTACCAAAAAAAATTTTTTTAAAACCTCGTTGCGAGGGAGTAGATTGCAACTTCTAGAGCCCCTGTAGGCCATGGAAGAGAGCTTTGGTGGCTTAGTGGTAAGGACTTGCACTGCCAACCCAAAAGAACCGAGTTCAAATCCACCAGCTGCTTAAACAGATGGGCACTCTTCTGTCCTGTGATTCACAGTCCCAGAAAACCAGATCGGTGACATATAAAACAGGGCAAGGAAGAAACGTGCCCACAGGGTTTCAACAGCTATAAACCACTAGGAAAGCCAATTTCTCGGCTGAAGGGTTCGCACCTCAGGCCTTTTGGATAGTAGCTGAGTGCTCCCACCTCAGTGCCACAGCAGCTTTGTATAAAATATGAAGAAATTGCTGGTCCTTTTACAGCTGTCCTCTGCTCTCTGACTCATTAGAGTGGGTCATCGCCCAATTCAAAACATACAATATTCCATGTATCCAACTAAGGGATTTAGAATAAACAAAAGGAGGAACTCTGCACAGTAGGGTCTACATTTATGGAGTCCTTAAGTTGATCTCCTGATGAAAGTAAAAAGTCTCAAGTGTACAGAAAACCCTAAAGACTCAGCAAGAAAACTATTGGACATAGTTGACCAATTCAGCAAAGTAGCAGGATACAAGATCAACATACGAAATCAGTTGGATTTCTCTACAGTGACAAAAAGAATACAGAGCTGGAGCTAAGAAAAGCAATGCCCTTCAAAATAGCTAATCACAAGATTAAATATTTGGGAGTAAATATAACTAGAAGCACAAAAGATCTATTCAAAGAAAATTACAAAACATTATTACAAGAAACAAAAA